GACATTTTTGATTCAGTTTCCATTGAAATTCTGTCAGATAATCTGCACAGATGTGGACTTTCCGGAATTTTAAATAATTTCTTGTACAATTTTTTGTCAGAAAAGCAAATGAACTTTTCCCTTGGACAACTGACAACTTCCAGAATTAGCTACATGGGACTGCCCCAAGGCTCATGTCTCAGCCCTCTTATTTATAACTTTTATGTCAAAGATATCGACAACTGTTTGGCAGAACAATGCACGCTAAGACAACTTGCAGATGACGGTGTGGTTTCTGTAAGAGGTCCACATGCCGTGGACTTGCAAGGACCATTGCAAAGTTCGTTAGATAACTTGTCTTCTTGGGCTAGGAATCTAGGGATCGAATTCTCGCCGCAGAAAACTGAACTGGTAGTGTTTACTCGAAAGTGGTACCCAGCCCAAATGCATCTTAATCTTTTGGGCAGAAACATTACTCAATCATTGTCTTTCAAGTACCTTTGGGTCTGGTTTGATTCAAAGTGCACTTGGAATACCCATATTACGTATTTGAAGCAAAAATGTCAGCAGAGGATCAACTTTCTCCGTTCAATTTGCGGCACATGGTGGGGTGCTCATCCGGGAGACCTCATAACGCTTTATAAAACAACAATTCTCTCTGTTCTAGAGTACGGCTCTTTCTGCTTTCTCTCGGCAAGAAAATGTCACCTAATAAAATTGGAACGAATTCAATATCGTTGTCTGCGTATTGCTCTCGGCTGTATGCACTCAACGCATAACATGAGTCTCGAGGTTCTGGCAGGAGTAACACCCCTCCAGAACCATTTCTGGGAGCTCTCTCTCAGAATACTAATCAAATGCGGAGTGACGAACACACTTATAATTGCAAATTTTGAAGACATTCTTGGGCTGAACACACAATCTCGATTTATGAGAATCTACCACCACTACATATCGTCAGATATGTGTCTTCCTTGTTACACTCCAGACCGTGCTCACTTCACCAATCGCAGTTCCTCAATTGAATATGATCTGACCATGAAACAAGCAACTCATGGGATTCCAGATCAACTTCGAACTATTATTATCCCGCGTATTTTTACTGGAAAGTACCAACACGTAAATTGCGTGAAAATATATTTTACAGACGGGTCACGTCTCAATGGATCCACTGGCTTCGGTGTCTTCAATGAAAACTCTAGCGCCTTCCGCAAACTTCAGGAACCTTGTTCTGTTTATGTTGCTGAGCTGGCAGCAATCAACTTCGCATTGGGGATGATTTCCAACATGCCCGCATCTTCTCGGATAGTCTCAGTTCGATTGAGGCTATTCGGTCGATGAAACCAAGTAGGCACTCATCTTATTTCCTTTCAAAGGTAAGGGAGCAGATGAGTGTACTGGTCGAAAGATCATATATGATTACCTTTGTATGGGTCCCCTCACATTGCTCAATCCCAGGCAATGAGAAGGCGGACTCTCTCGCAAAGGTGGGCCAGGAAGGCGAATTTTATGACAGGCAAATTTCACACGATGAATTTTACCATTTAGTGCGTCAGAGTACCCTTTCGAGTTGGCAAACCGATTGGGACAATGGAAATCTTGGACGGTGGTTACATTCAATTATTCCTAATGTTTCTTCGAGAGCGTGGTTTAAAGGCTTGGGCTTAAGTCGTGACTTTATTCGCGTGATGAGTAGACTTATGTCCAACCACTACTCGCTAGATACGTATCTCAATAGAATAAACCTCGTGGACAGCAACTTATGTCGGTGTGGAAACGGTTACGACGACATCGATCACGCAGTTTGGCAATGTACGGATAATGACGCCGCCAGAGAGCGACTTTTGAATACCCTCGAGGCCCAAGGAAGACAACCCTGTATCCCTATCAGAGACGTGTTGGGTACCCGCGATCTCTGCTATATGCAGTCGATTTATTTGTTTCTGCAAATGTCTAGTATAAGAATTTAATTCGTTTGTCTTTTGTATCTCTTTATTAGTTTTTGTTTGTCTTGTCCCCCGTCTCGATGAGCCTCATCGTCGCCCACTGGTCACCATAGCCACTGGCGACAACGCTCTGATGAGGCAACGATACCCTACTCCCAAGCTCCTCCCCTTTTCCTATCCTTCGTCAATGTACCCCTCTAACCTCGAGTAAGCCGCGAGTATCCGGCCCAACTCCTACTAGACATAGAATTAAGTGAATTTTGTTACAAACAAAGAAGAATGAATTATCAGCTCCGTAAAGCTAACGCGATTGAGCCTTACAAATAAACGAACTAGATAAAACAAAAAAAAAATAAGGCTGGTAAGTTACTGCAGTAACTGGAGCACCTAGGTTAAAAATGAAATGTAATTTATTTTGAATTTGGAACAAATAATGAGTTAAAAAAAAGCATGCACAAAAAAACTGAAGCAATTAATTTCGTCCTTTCCCCCTCAATAGCACATTTGTTCACTTACTGCATCGTAATCATTCCACTCTCATAACAATAACCATAGTAACCACACTGCCGGGAAGTCCAGTATGCAACTAGTGTCATAAGACATTCATTCACTGTCTGGTTCCCCATTCGATGGCGCCACCAATTTTAAACATGCAAGTGCATCTGTAAACAAATTGATGTTGGTGTTCCGCATACGCATTGACGATCAGTTAGCATTCGTTCCGCTTTCTTTACTCGGGTTCATTCGACGAGTCAGCTGATTTGGTGATCTGTTATTATATTTTAATTGCCGGGATTTTTATTAACAGGTTTGCTAGAACATCGCAAGTCAATCGTTTTTAAACTTGAAGCACAAATGTAATGCAATTTTGTTTGATCGAAAAGGCATTGGAAACATATATCATTTTCAAGTGCACGTAAATTGAAAGGGCTGAACTTTCGATCATCGAGCTGTAGTAAGCGGTGCCGGTGGTGTAGTGGTAAGCGTGACTGCCTCTCACTCCAAGGGGCCTGAGTTCAATCCCAGTCGACGCCGCAACTAACTAAAAATTCACCTTCTTGCAAATTATTTCGTGTAGTTTTCAAAAAATTAGATTGCTGTGTTTTTATGAAATCATGTGGTATCAAACTTGTCAATTGCAAGCAGAAAAATGAAACAAACTCGTCTGCAGGCTTAACAATAGTTTCTAAATCACATCTATCCGTAGTAACCCACTGTTCAAATGAAAGCTGATCAATGCATTTTCCTCTAAAGAAAAATTAAAAATAATAATCTTTAAAAATGATTTCATTGAAATACAACTGAAGGTTTTGCTTACCTTTTAACCAAATGGTGTTACACTTATTTCCTATGATAACTTTTTAAGATGTATGCGGTAAAAAGCAATCTTTGTGATCAACTGCATGTTTTCACCATTCAAACTCATTTAAGTTATGGCATCGATAGGTACAATTTCTACATTAGGTACAGACAGATATTTTTGGTGTTCACTACTACAGTGTTGAGTATGTGACTTACTACCGTTAAGATCACTGATACAATTATGCAAAATCGAAGACAATGAATAAAAAAGAAAATTAAAAAATCGTCAATTTGAATGGAATTGCTCCTTCAGTAAGGGTCGCTAGTTTGAACATCATATCACTTTTATTTAGTTCTAGCTCAATATTCATCAAATGAATTTTTTAGTTTTGTTAGTGACGATACCTTTTCATGGTATCAGATGTAATTAATCCTAACTTTTCAATAGGGCCTGTGTAGAAAAACACTAATGAAATAAACATACCTATATTGCAAAAACGGCTTGCTTGATTGCTATGGTGTTTTCGGGAAAGTTGTGCAACATTAAAATGCAATTCTTGAAAAAATATACACGGTTGAAAAACATGTGTTTTTAATGAAAATGTAAAAATCGTGAAATTTTCAAAAACCATCACCAAACTTTGTCAGTTAATAGCAAACATTGTGAGCTTCAATGAGGCTTTAAACATACATTTTCAAAAATGTACTTTCTGAGAAATTAACTTTTTTAATAACAAATATAATTTTGTTTCATTGAAACAAACGAAAGTTTTTACAGTGTATATTTTTAACATTAAATAATATCTACAACTTTGCTGAAGACACCAAATCAATCCAACAAACCGTTTCAGCAATATATATTTTTTAACTAATTAGTACTATTTTACACAGGCCCTGTTAGAAAAGTAGTCGTGATTCAATTTGAAGAACTGATAACACAAATTGGCATCTTTACTTAAAAAGAATAGCTGTGCAAATTTTCATCAAAATCGGAGCTTTACCTCTACCCTTGTGCTGTTTGGACAGTGATGTTTTACTGCAGACCTGTGCTTGAAAATGAAAATGAAAAATGAACTTTATTAAAGTGAGAAATGAAGTAAGTGTTAAACTTCATCATTCAATGAATTTGATTGTAAAGCTGTTTCATTAAAAGTGATTGCCATGTCTTAAAAAACTTTTTGGTTAATTGCTGTTGTTTTTGATCTGCCAAAAAAGCATTTAAAAAATAGCTTTCTTATTATAAGCCTGGAATCAATCGGTTAAAGTTCTGGAAAACCTGGAAAACACAGGTTGTTTTATTAAGAAAATGAGTATACACCCTGTACATATATCGCGAAAGGCGATTAAACGTCACAAACCAAAGAATGATCAATCTTGAACTAAAATTTTCAAGTTAAAAATAGTGACTGATTACAAGAAAAAGTGACTTTAGTGAATTGGCCTTAAAAAAGGAGACTGGCTTGAAAAAAGTGACCAAGTCACTAAAAGAGAGTCGCTACCAGCCCGGTAAATGGTCCATGCATTAAACATAATAGATCCAGGTCGTGAAAGTGTGTGGATTACACTTCCATGATACCCACAGACTAGTCAATGAATTTCATTCATTCATTCGTTCATTCATCTCTATCACACGTGAACGTTATTGCATTCTAACAAATCAACAACATCATCCCGTGTTGCAACATCGAACAAAAACATTGCAATAAACTGAACTCGTGGCAGTTCGTTCTTTACTCGATCAGTCGTTCAGTCGTTCAGTCGTTCATAGTTCGCTTGGCGGTTCGTTTTGCTCTTCACATTTGAAAGTTTTTGATCAATTCCAGCGCGGAAAATGGACGTTAAATCATTTCGGATAATCGGTTTGGTGTATGTCGTGTTTTGCTGGATGTTTTCCGCTCTTGGAATCGTATACTCATTCTTTCACCTAGTCGTTGTAAACCCTTTCTGGGCCAATATCTTGTCCTACGATGGTAAATCAAGCACTACAAGTGGCTACAGTCGATAAGGAGTTTTAATTGTTTTAATTTTGCAGACGCTATCAACTCTGCGATTGTCACTGCCTGCTTATTCGTATTCACACTGTCCTCGTTTTTTGTCGCATTCGTGAAAGAAGGAATAGATGAGGTAAGTTACGAAATTCTTCTGCGATTAAAGGAAGATCTAATGAAATTCCTGCTTTGCTCACCAGGGAAAGGCTTCCTTTATCCGAATATACCGGGTTTTCGTGATACTTCGAAACCTCGCACTGTTCGCTTTGTGGACCTGCCAGTACGCTATGCTGGAAGAAGCACGAATTCATGGAGACGCCTCGTCGAAAGTGAGGAATGGTGACTATATCACCCTCGGGCTGTTTGTTGGAGCCATAGGTGAGATAATTTTGGGATTTTTGAATTAGTGATGGAATGCATTTGCTGTAAACATACTTATTTCTTCTGGGAATCGATTGCTACTCGTATTAGTCATCACCGGTTTGGAGCTGTGGATTCTTAACGGTATTCAGTGGTTAACGGAGCAGAAACTCGTCGAAGAGGAGTGCACTGAGGCGGCGTAGAATCGTGTTTGCTAATAGGGAATTCTGTTATATAGTTACCCAGGGTTCCTTCAACTCAGTTCGCTGTAAAAAAAAAGGATTTTCGGTATGATTAAATCACTGATTGTGATCTTCTGAAATTGAAAATGACAGGTTTTATATGAGAAACACATATTATAAAACCGCTTCTTAAAATTTAAAAGTACAAAATATCATCTTGAAATCTTTTGATTTAATAATTGAGTAAAAGTCTCCATCATCAAATTCCACGGGTGTCCCCCGAAAGTGGCGAAAGTTTTACGGTATGTAGAGTTTCGAAAAATCGTCGATTTCTCTTCAAACCTTGCTTGTAGTGGTGAGAAAAATACTTAATTTTATTCTTTTTTAGTAATAGTGACATTATACAGAAATAATGTTTCGGACAAATAGCACCACTATTGATATTTTTAATAGTGGATTTCCCCATACATTCTAAAGTCGACTTTCCACAAGCCCATACGTTCATAGGCGGCTCGCCCTCTGGTGGTGAGTACTGTCAGAAGCAGCATGAAGCACCTAATTCCGAAACATATATTTTTCTAGCGGAGTGAGTGAAGCAACCCTGTAGTTGATTATCTTTAACTTAAACGCTCACCAGACTAAGCAGCTACAACATGTTATAAGCCTATATTGATGACTCTGTAGTATGAACGTGGTATTAGATATCATATCTTGATGGACCCTACTGCGATCCCATACACTTATTTTAAAATGTACCGGTGTAAAATGTAAATGGTACCGCTGTACCATCGGGTTCCATCAATATCGTGTTGGATGTAGATTGTAATTATTTTCCAAAAGATGGATCCAAAATTGATGAACGATGGTTTAATTCATCACATAGTAATCGTACTATTGAACGTAATTGATCGTATTTGAGTTAAATTTTTTTTTTTATTTATTCATAGTAATCCTATGATAATGAGCATGCCATGCTCGGGGTAATAACTTTTTTTTCTATAAATAATTTATTTAATAAGGTTCAAAGTCCAAAAGAACTCTACGGAGCCGAGAACAGTGAATAATATAGTAATAAAAATAATATGCATGAAAAACAAAAGTTCTTCTTATTTTTCCTAGAAGGTTCTGGGAAGTTTCAGAATCGAGCAAGGTAACGTGATCCATCATGTTTGAAAGCATCAGAAGAGATGTCGTTATCTGCGTTGTTTGCTTCTTTTGTCTTCGCGTGTGCTCCCGGAACAGAAATTTAAGACATCGTGAGTGATAGTTTTTAACATCGTGAGTGATAGTTTTTAACATCGTGAGTGATAGTTTTTAACATCGTGAGTGATAGTTTGTGCCCTTGTTGCTTAGGTGTCTGGTGTGCTCTCGCTTCCCTTTGTTGCCGGTGTGACTCGACCGCGCTGATCTATTGTTAGGTTTTAGCGATGTGCATTGCTTTTGTGCACAGAGTGACTTGAAAAAGAAAAGCGAAGAAAAGTGATACTTAGGAGGAGGCGGAGGAATTGTGACTAGATAAAAATATGCGTGGAAGCATCGGGAATGCGCTCCCGGGTGTAATGATTTGGTGAGTACAGCATTCCCCCGAAGAATGCGTTACCCACTGAGTTCTACGCACCGCTTTGTATCGGTGGGTTTTCGACCAAGCGCTCTGATTTTCTGCGAGTGACTGGTTCTTCATTGGCACTACTCACATGTAAAAAATCAGCCCGACAGGTTGAAACCCCGCCGAGAAAAAGCGGTGGGTGCAACTCATTGGGTAACGCGTTCTTCGGGGGATAGCTGTACCTTCCAGTTGAAGATGGCTGAAAAGTGTATTTGTGGTGATGCAAATTATGGTTTTGATGACGTATGGCTTCAAACATTTTGTATATCCTAATAAAATGTATTACATACTAAATACGCACAGGGCATCGTCTGCTGACTAATGCCGCGGGTATATCGTGGGAGTCTTAGGTACCCGGTTCAAGCTTTAGTTGGTGGCAGTGGCTTTTCTTAACCTTCTACCCCCTGAGTAGTAAGTGTGAATATGGGCGTCTATGTGATGTTTTGCTGTACCTGTTGTGGATATCTAGAGCATCCTGTTTCCTTGATTTGCCTCAAAAGTTACACTGTCTGAAGTACTAGTCTTACCAACATAAAGAGCACCATAGCGGAGCTTGAGATTTGATCAAATTATTCGCAGTTCTACTTGTCTACTGGGCTGCTTCTCAGAATGGGTTACAATTCCAAATTTGTAGATATACCGTAAAACGGGGTAACATTGATAGTTTTTAAGGTATATTCTTAATAATTTTTACAGCAATGAATGTTTTTCCAATTTTATATTTTTAAAACAATTACTGAGGATCCAAGAGTCAATTCGTTAGTAAGATGTTTAACGGAAATTAAAGCATTTGCACTACTTTTTTAGTGTTGTGACCGAACGTCAGTTTTTTTGATTTGGGGTTTCTTCCCAAGTAACAATTCAGTAACCATTTAGCATCCACTCTGATTTATGATGGTTTTATAACGGCAATGAACAATCCATTTAGTTTAAATATAGCATTTTAAAGTGTAAAACATTGCTGTTTTAGAAACCTTTTATAGTCTGACAAGAAAGTCAAAAACTGTCTTGTTTTAAAAATAAATTTAAAAAAGTTATGAATCCCTCCTTAAAACTGTTCTGTAATTCAAGCATAAACGTCATTAGCAATTGTTTCACTAAACCATCACTAAATCTGCTATTTATCAATTTTATCTAGAAGAACGCGTCATTGCGACGGTACTAATGGATATTTTTGGTCGCTATTTAAAATTTAGTCGATTGATGGATTTTTGTATAGACCCAAATTAGGGGCAGTTAGACCTACATTACATCCATTTTCCCAATAATGTTTTTCTGGAACAAAAATTAAAAAAAAAACGGTAATTGGAATTAAAAAAAAATTAAATTAAATCTAAATTCATCAAATGTAACGTTCTAAATTTTGGTTTTGTTTTTATTTAATTAAATTTTTTGTGTTTGTGTTGTGTTTCAAATTATGGACCGATTTTTGAAAAACAGAAAATTATGAAAAATGCAAACTTTTGAAATGGATGGACACTTGAAAACTAACAAAAATCATAAAACAAGAAGTTTTGGTGTAATTTTGCAAAAACGTTTTCTCATGTAATTTATACTCAAAAACAATGTTTGAGTAATTTTTAATCCTTTTCTGTGGAAACATTCACAACACAGCTTAACAACAAGAAGATAAAAAATTTAACTAAAAGTTCTTGTTCTATGATTTTTGTAAGTTTTCAAGTGTCCATCCATTTCAAAAGTTTGCATTTTTCATAAGCTTTTTTTCAAAAATCGTACAAGTAAATTTGAAGACTCTACTGTTGGCCTATGGATCTAAGATTGGGCCCATCGCTAAAAATATGCTATTCATCAATTTTATCTAGATGAACGCGTCATTGGGACGGTACTAATGGACATTTTTGGTCGCTATTGAAAATTTAGTCGATTGTTATGGGCCCAAATTAGGGGCATATAAGCCAGCATTACATCAATTTCCCCTATATGGGTTTTTAACATATTTTTTTTAACTAATTATGTTTTTTTACTTTGCTTAACGTCCCAATTAACAATCTAAATGCTTTGAAGATTTATTCTTATTTTATCATTGTTTTATTATAGCATCCCTTGCAGCCTGTGCTTGTTTTACGGTTTTGTGTGCTTGTCATAAAATCAGGCCGTCAAGTCGTATATAAAACTGTTTTATGATTATTAAATTAAAACTCAGACTTCAAAGTGTTAACGGTAGCTGTAAGATGGTTCTGTATCACTAGCTATAACTGAAGAATAAAACCAAAACAAAACATACCATTATGTTTTATGGCATACTTTTTATGAGCGATATAAAACTTGAAGCAGTCTTAGACCTTCATTAAAGCCTCATTAAAACTTTCATCTTTATCAGAGGCCTAAGATTCACAGATAAGAAATGTACTACAACAATAACAAAAAATACTCTGAAATTTGTCACCAATATAAAAAAAAAAACAAATCTATTCAGATTCATGAAATGAAACCCCCTTCAGTGCTTTTGAACACGATGAAGATGAGATGATCGCCAATATGAAACTCCTGGAGGATCTACAGTTATGGGCTCCCTCATATAACATAAGGCACAGTGCGGTGAAGGAGCTCTTTAAAGTATTGAACAAGCGGCTTTCCGATACACTTCCGAAGGATCCACTAACCCTTCTTAAAACAACCCAGACAGTTTCACTAAATCCGGTTGGAGATGGCCTGTATTGGTATCCCGGCTTTAAACCTTGTATTGAAAAAGCTTTTAGTGGATCCAATAGGCATTTCTTTCATCTTGGTTACAAGACAAAATAGGAGGATCGCTTGGAATGTTGACTTTTTGACAGGTTGCCATGGTTTTGTTTTGTTTTGATTCGCTGTACCGAATAAAACCAGGAAGCTAGGTTTACGAAATGCGAAATGGACTACGAAATGTTAAGATACAACCACAACTTACTGCTGCTCTGCTGTGGATGAAAAAAATATTCCTCGTCCTGAAATTATTATTGGTTTTCTTCCTGTGAGTGCTGAAGACTCTACTGATGATATTCTAGCACTCCTTGAGAGTCAAAATGAAGGGTTAAATACTGATGAATGGAGAATCTTGGAAAGAAAAACCATCAATCAGCTACATGTTGAATTAGTTTTTAATGTGGATGGAGTCTCACTGAACACTATCAAGAAGTGTGAATTCCTTCTTGATTACAATTTTGGAACAGCTCCTTTCCGACGCAAGAATATGCAGAAAAATAAGTCACAAATCCATGCTACTAAAAACCGGGGTGAACAAATAACCGATAAAAGACTAGATGGAAATACTAATGATAAACAGGATAAAACTAAGGATAAAACAGAAGAACAGGATGGCGATGGGGGCAAGGAGGATGAGCAGCTGAAAATCCCTCTAGAACAGCATAATAGTACTGGAAGTATGAAGAGTAGTTCAGATTCCAAAGTACTGTGCTTACCGGGACCTAGTGGAATTATTAAAATTCCCGAAGGTACCAGCAACACCGTACAAGGACCACAGA